ATAATTGCGTTGTTAGGGACGTAAAAAGCCTGGAAAAAGGGTAGTTGATGTAATAAAGATGGAAAAAAAGCATTTTCGCAGCAGTGGAAGAATAACATATAGAGCAATTGGTGCTTATAAAAAGGTTTATAACTATATATATCTGTATATATATTACAATTATACCATATATGAGAGTCATACGACGAGAGCGAATGGTATAATTGTTTTATAATATAGTCTAATAGCCATTAACTATAGCAATAATTAATTATCCTCTGTTACAATGTCTTGACAATTTGTTCGGCCAAAAACTGCTTGGCCTTAAAAGTTTGAAAAATACTTTTGTTTTACAACTCGAAGACGAAATGAAAGTGAAAGAAATTGTTTTAGAACCGGTATATCTCACAGAAAAGCTCAGATATATTATACAGATGTTTGGTTGTATAGTAAATGCTTCTTGACTGCAAATTCATTTGTCTTTCGTTGCAAACTTTTCTGAACAATTTATATTCTCAATGACAATAAACATGTTTTTTTTTCGCTGTTGTTTCGGTGTTAATTCTTTAAAAAAACTTGTATTTAAACTAATTTCTATGTAATAAATGTATTTTGCTAACCTGTCAAATATTTCTGAGAGTTTTTCGATGTACTATTATCTTTCTCAAAGCGAATATTTACTTTTTTCTGCTTCGCAAAACTCATGTAGTTTTTGGACCGCCATCTTGTTTTTCGCTACTCGCCATATATAAGCTGATATACGGCGAGTAATCCAACCAAACAGATTGCAGAACATCTCATATACGGTGAATGACTATACAACTTAAACGAGAACACACGAATCAAGATTCAAACTCGAACAACATATTTTAGACTAAGAAAATCTTTATAAATTGTATTACAAACTTACATAGTCACGTTTCGCTGCATCCCGCCGAGATTACTTCTTAAAACTGTTTGCAGAATGCAGGTATTTTCCACAGGCTCTTTTTGCCATACAATGTTTTTTAAAGTCATTCTTGTGCCAAAATTTAGTTGAATTCGTCCACATTTATTAGAAATACTTGCAGTTAGTTTTGTGTATGATCTGCAATTTGTGCCATACACAAACGATGGTTAATTGTGCCGGTTTCAGGTTGTTGTGGATAATCCTATTACACTTCGAGTTCTACAAGAGGGATGCTGCAAAGCATTTCTAGAAATTGTGGGAGACATTGAGGATGTTATGCAGGATTATGATATTGCCATCATTGATGGAAAATCTCAACTAACGTGTGATGACGAAATTCCGCAGAGACGTCGAACATTTGGATTTTACTGGAAGAAGGTATACATTTTATTATACAATTTACCAATAATAATGGAACGTATACCGTTCAATTGCACGCTGCAGCAAAATGGTAATTTTTATAAACAAATAGAATCCATTCCCGCGACAACATCGAAAATATGTTGATTGTTGTGGCAGAAATAATTTAATAAACTTTGAATTTATATTTTTGTCCACAGTGCGGATGTGCAACACTTATCCATGAACAGAGCATGCAAATATATATATATATATATATATATATATATATATATATATATATATATATATATATATATATATATATATATATACATATATATATATATATATATATATTTAATTATTTAAATAAAGTACAAAACAAACGTTGTTACTCAGAGTTTCATGCATGCCTGAGTTTACAGACAATCTTCGGACAACTAAAGTTCTGTTAACTAAATTTGACGGTTTGGTTTTGTTTGCTTGCGTGTGCATGATTGCGCACGTTGTTCGATTGCACGCGAATGTATTTTCCCGCCAGAAATTGTTTTTGGTGGACGCAATTCGAGAATATTTCACTTCTTTTGTTGAGCAGCGAGTTCTTTTTAAATTTCATGATGAAAAGTTTTTCGTCGCTACACAAATTGCACTGATTACGTCCCGATCCGTATGCACTCGAATGTTTTAAAATTGTCCATTTAATTTTGTATGGGCGATTGCTTTTCTTCAAACTCCATATGTACTTAGACAGTTCAGTGTCGTTAGCATACGTAGCGATGTTGAATGATTTCTGGTGGTTCCTAAAACGCTCCTTGAAGGTTGTAGCCGTAATTCCAATATAGTGCCTTGTTTCTCCGTTGTCCTCCGCTGCGATCTTTGCATGGTAGACAATGCCTTTGGTTAAGCATTTCTTGTTGAGAGGACACGTATTCTTATCTCTGCAATTGCATGTTTTGTTGGTGTGTGGCACTGGTGTTGGTGTTGGTTTTAATGGTGGTGTTGGCGTTAACGTTGGTGATGGGCGAGATGGTGATGGGGGAGGTGGTACTGGTGATGGTACTGAGTAACAACGTTTGTTTTGTACTTTATTTAAATAATTAAATATATTTAGCTCTACAATAAAGTATTGAGCACTTTATATTATATCAAGAAAACTTGAATTGTTATATATATATATATATATATATATATATATATATATATATATATATATATATATATATATATATATATATATATATATATATATATATATATATATATATATATATATATATATATATATATGTGTGTGTGTGTGTGTGTGTGTGTTATGTTGTGTTTTAATATATATTTTATATTCTAGAAAGGAATTGATAGCGGAAACTCCACGACTCAAACAAGCGATTCGCATGTACGTATTATGATGAAGTAGCGTTTATGTCTATTATTGATATAAGATACAGTATAATATTTGGAACTGTTGTTTATTTCATTTTGTTAGGAAAGTGAACAACACGAATCTCATAATTCTCAAGAACATGTACAATCTGATGGAATTGGAGAGACAGAAAAGTAAATTAATTTATTGAATCGATCAACCTCGTTCCCAGGGCACTTTTTAAAAATGCGCCAACGCCGCATTTTTAAAAAAGGCCCTGGGAACGAGGTTGTGAACCGATTACCTTTAAACCTGTATATTTTTTAGTTTTAAATATTATTTTTTAACAATTTGATATATTTTGATGAATTATATATAACGCATGAACTAATGCATATTTAAGATTTAGCTATGTATAAAATTAGGCATGATATAGAGAGCTGTCAAAGGCTTCGATGATAAAGGTTGGGTTACCTTCATGGTAAGTAAAGGAATAATAGATCATAGCGCAAACAAAAGCATATGCGTACGGGTCGGGGGGGGGAGAGGAGGGGGGAGATTATTCGACAGATTATGACAGTCGGGCAATATTGACTGATTATAAAAATAATTAGGATACATTCTCTCAATATAGTGAGGGGAGAATATGCCATATATAATAGTCGAAAATGTAGGAAAAATATAAGAGTGAAATGACGAAAAAAATATCGGAATGTTTCATCTCAAAAAAACAATAAACTACATGACCATGTATGGATTTAATGTATATATTAATAATAAATATATACCTTTAAACATTTCAGAAGCGGTTGTAAAAATTATAATCTAATCCATGCAGATCATCAAATGGGAAATATTTTTTATTTGGTTGAAGTACAAATACCAGTAAAGTATATGATTTAACTCCGTCGAGTAAGCAGGAAAAAGCTTGCATGCATGTTTGTAATGTTGCAACTAATGTTAAATGTTTGTAATTTATTTAACTAAATATTATATGTTAATTGTTTTTCAAGGCCCAGTCTTGCTGTTACAATCGATGGTATCAGACAAAATAACTTAGGTATTTCAAGTTTAGCTATTTTTGCAGTTAGCCTATATATATATATATATATATATATATATATATATATATATATATATATATATATATATATATATATATATATATATATATATATATATA